TCTTAGTGAAATGGGGAGCTAGGACTGTATAAACCGAAGTCATGCAAATGAAGTCACAGGTGACTTATTGCGAGGCAATGCCTTCACACAGCACTGCTCTACCCACTCTGCTGCCATTCCTCATGCCTGGCTGCAACCCCGGCTCAGCCCAGCTGCCTAATGGCTGGAAAAAACCCTGCCTTTCAGCATGCCCAAGTGCTTTTTGCTTCTTCTCTCTGTTAGTGAAGCAATTCTTCTTTTCCCAGAATATAAATACCACATACATCAAGTCAGATTCAGAGGACTGAAGAAATTTGGTTAGCTTCACAGATAGACAAAGTTCTCAACAGCAGATTCATTACTTGTGGCAGCTCTAAATTTCTGAGCTAATGTGAACTTCAAAACACCAATGACACCCTAATGATTTCAGTATGCAATTTGAGCTGGAACTGTTGGAGGAATTAATGTTGTTTCAAATCTTTAGGTATTTCTTACTCTTAAAGGAAAGAACTATTTTGGAAACTATTTTGGATAATTTCTCTAAAATTAACTTGCTTTAACAGATATTTGCTCCAGCTTTGTCCAGGACTACCAAGGCTATTCTATTCCCTGAGTGAGAATAATTATTCAGATCACATTTACCCGTATATCATAATAAAAACTGTGTTTTCTATTGGACAGAAACCACTGCTTTCAGGAAACATTCCCATTGCCAAACTCATTCAATGGGATAATCAAATCAAATATTTGTTAAAAATAACAAATCAATCAACATAGAAACAATCTTTTCTCAGCTCTGTTTAGTGCTTGACACTTAATGAAAAGGTTGTCTGTGGAGAAGCTTTCCACTTGCTCCCAAGCAATCTGGAAGGAACTGGTCCATTTTGTTTAGTCATTCAGCATCTAGTACTGCAGCAACAGTGAGCCCAGCTGTCTCAACATATAATCAGTTGGACCACTGCTGTTGATTTGAAGTCCAGTTTTATGGACCAAGCACTACTCTGCGCTCACTACTGCTTAGGTCTTACTACCAGCCATCTAATTGCTACAGAGCAATCTCCCCAGGCTTCTTCAAGAATACTTCTGAAAGCTTTTGTTTTCTGGTGCACCAGAGAAAAAAAAAAAAAAACAACAAACCAAAAAAACCCACTTAGAATCCTTGGAAATGTTCACAAAATTAAATTATTTTCTTTCTGGTTCTACGCAGCACGGTGCAAATGAAGTCTTTGCCCTTGCAGAACATTAATATCCTCTCATGTTATTCTCATTCCAAGCCAATCAATCTCCTAATGCTTTTGATGTTTTAGTGGACTGCATGTTAAGTAGAGGACAGTATCCCAGTAGCAGTACAGTGATTATCTGGGCTACTGCAGTTATTTCTGAATGAAAGTAGTGGTAAAATGACAAAAGATTTCATAGAGATCACTGTTGTCCTTGCAAAATTACTAGGTTTTCTGGTGACTCCTAGGGCTGTATACATGTATTAGCAAAAAACACCAACATTTAGTAGCAAGCAGAGGTTCAGTAGGTCACACACTCTCAAATCACACCCTGAAATGCACAGAGAACCTATTCTTTAACTCTACTCTTTTCTGGCTCTCTTCACTGTGACTAATGCTCTCTACGTCTGCCTTAATACAACGTTTCTTAAACTTTCCTTTTTCAGATATTAAAAAGAATGTAGACCACAGCTTTTTGAACTTGTCTTTAACTTTTAATGATGATATCATACATGTTTTACATTAACAGACCTGTACATCTATATTTCCTATGTTCTGAACATTGGGAAGTTAATAAACCTTCAATTCACTACAGAATGTTGAATAGACTGAGGATTTTGAATAAGAATGAAAATCTGATAAAAATGAAAAATGTTTAGTTTTCAAATATCTGTCACATACATAACATTAGTCCAATTCTAAAACTCACTCATGTCTTCTTTGTTTAATTTTTGCAACGATTCCTATGAGGTCAGGAAGAAACCTGTTACTCCTTTTATGATAATATAGAAAAATACATTGTTGTCTGTTAGTAAACAGTTTCATAAAACTCAATTATTATGACAAGGAAAAGTGACTCTAAATTTGTGTCGTATTCAATACGGTTTTTTGTTAAATCTTGCCTTCTCCATGGTGAACAAACAGTTGTTATCAAATGATAGTTCATTAGAATAGTTATGATTTTATTTCAGCTACATTTTTCTGGACAAAGATATAACTGGGTTTACAAACATTTTCAGAAGAATTAAGACCTCTTGTATATAGGGAGGACCTACTCTTATATTTCAACTGAATTTCTAAAAAATTCTTATAAAAAGAAGGTTTCTATCATTGTGGTGCTGTTAAAAGCAATAGAATTCCCTACTTTTAACAGTTTTTAAGTTGCCAACCCCAAACCAGAAAGTTTTATGAAATTATGAATTTGGGTCCAAACACAGTAAAAGCCAGATAATCTACTCTTCAGAAGCTGTAATTATTTTAATGAGAGATGGAGGAATGTTCTGGTTTTCACTTCTCTGATTCTACTAATACATGACTGTACTTCATTAATTCAGGGTCACACAATGAGCCTCTGAGCAATTATTCACATGAGTGGTCTCACAGAATTCAATGTCCTCATTTAATGTGCCATAAAAATGGTATATGGTGCATCTAGCTAAAGCAAACATTAATTCACTGCAACATCCAACAGGTAGCAGTTCAAAGTCCCTTATCTCAGCCACTATATATTGAGAAAAGAAAGTGTCTTCATGAATTTGGCTTGTTGAAGAAGAGTTTGCTGAAAAAAACACCCAAGCCTTGCACCACATTCTGAAAGTGAAGAGAATGGGTTTTTTCAGGATTTTTTTTTTTTTTCCCCCCACAGTTTGGGCAAATCCAAGACAATACTGAGGAGGGAAAAATCACTGGAGAAATGTAAAGAGGGTGCAAACACTGAAACAGCCAGGTACACGAGCTACTCAGTCTCACTTGTAATTTCACAGTCTCAATAGTAATTTCACAGTCTCACTATTTTGATGGTAGCCACCATAGCCAGGCACCTTGTGCGGAAGTATGTAAAAGGTATTATGAGTCTTTTTTTTAAGTACAGCACAAACCCAGTTCCTCTTCTCTCTCATTCCTGGTCATGTTTCCTAGTCCAACACTGTTGTAACATACACATTTTACCTCAGATAAAGAAAATGTCATTACACTTAATGTGATAATGAAAAACTGGATCTAAAAAACTTATTTTCTACCTGCCTCTCTATCTTTCTCTATAACACAGCTTATGACCAAAATTTTACAGACAGATTTAGGATGTTACCTAAAAGAAGCCATAAAACTGTGAGTCATGAGCTAAATGCCTGAAATCACCTCCATATGCCCACTTCTTTCACTTATTTTTGAATATATATTGCCAAAAGAGAAGACAGAAGAGGCAAAGACACTTCTTGATTGCTTCCACACTGATGCAGTTCGCATCACTTGTTGAAGGCTGGCTGTAGTTTGCCAGAGAGATTTGCACAGAGAGATTTGGAAATACACACCCTGTCTTACCTAGCAGCCTGGTGATTTCCTCAGCACAAACAAAAACCTAAATACTTGGCCCACAGGCATTGCAGGAGGGTCAAATCTTTGCAAGTAAGATACCAGCTAGGCCTAAAAGTCATTGCATATTTCCTTGCTTGTCAAGAGTAGGGTATTTAGAGAGATATGTCCTTCATGGCTGAAGATAAAGGCTAATGAGGCTGGAATTAGCATAGATTAACATCATCCAGTTTTAAAAGGTGTTGAGGGAGTATGAGTCCAATCCAAAACCCAGAATTCGTGCCTCTCATCACCGTCCCACAATAGCACACCTGAAAGGATCCTCCCCTGCCTCATGTTAATTTGAGCCAAAATATTAATTCAGTCTCCAGGGAGCATTTCTTTGCTATGTTCTGTACTGAGATATGTATAAATCAGTCTGACTGTGTTAGTTCTGTAACTGATATGCAAATGACAGGTATCCATGGAATTATTAATTGCCATTAATACTGGACTGTGTACTGGACAACACAGAGGTGCAGAGATCTTATCTCCTAGGGTATTTTTGTAGCCATAGATGTTCTGTAGTCAGAAAAAGATGTTCCTTCAGTGGGTGATTAAAAGCAAGCATCTGACTCTGGATTCTGAAATTAATTTTGTATACTGTCAAAGCCTTTGAAAATCCTTCTGCCTTCACCAGAGAGAAGTTTCCCTTTTTCAGTAACCATTTGAAGACCCTGAGCACAAAATCTGTGGAAAATGGTTTCGACAATAAATGGGGGTTGAGAGGACAAAACCCATCACTTTTATAAAGTTCATTACCATGTTATTTTCACAAATAATAAGCAACATGTGTTGTGTCCAGAAAAGGTCCATTCTTCCTCTGCAAATGTGTAACACATATGGTAATGTAAGTAACTTTTGTAATAATTCTGTAATGTCTTTTTGTAATGACAGAGGATTAACATTTTGTTATATTTATTGCTATAAAACATTTAATCTGAAAAGTTATATTTCTCTTTTTTGTCCTTGAAATTGTTCACCTAAGTGCAACTTCCCTTTATGAAATCAAGAAATAGAGCCCACCCTTGCTTCAGCATAAGGCACTGGAGAAACTACTGTACTGTAAAAACTATTACATGGGGAAGCTTTGATTTTTTTTTACATAAGGTAGAAGGACCTTTAAGACTTTAAAAGGCCTTCTAGGGTTCAGAGAGTCTCTTATCCACAGTCCTGTATAGGAATTAGTGCTTCCAGTGGGTTATGCGCCACACATGGTGCCGTGCTAGAACCCCAAATGTTAATCAGAACACTTAAAACAGTTGTATCCCACCATATTTGAACCCTTTCCTGTAATATTTCTTGACAAAAAACCACAAGCAACTGAAGAAAAAGGAGAAAAATCCACTGACAGTATTGCTTTAGCCTCTGAATTGTGGCATGTGCTTAAATCACTCAATGCAATTCTCTATCATAAATAGCAAGATGAAATTCTGAATACCAAATACTTACAGTTCTTTGCATTAGTAGAGGAGTTTCAGAACAACCTATCCCTTCATCATTAAAACTTGATTCCATATTGATTATGTCTTCAAGCACCTCTTCCATCTGATAAAATAAAATTTTAAGACCAATCACTACAAACAATTACTGAAAAATGTTACTCTGAAAATACAGAAGAATTAATCTTATTTATTACATTAATAAAACTGAATTTCAGAAGTTTATATCTTAAAATTCAAATATTTGAGGTACTTTTACACAATAGTCACATTTTTTACTTCTTGTGGAAACAGTTCTTGTGGTTTAGCAAATCACTTCTTTCCTCCTAAACACCAGCCCATTCCTCTTTCTTAACCCCTTATTACAACACCAAGACCAGATGACAAGGAGTGCATTCCTAAGTAGTAACTGTGATTCGTCACCTTTAGCAAAAGTGTCAAACCCATGTGTATTGCTGCATTCGTGCAGGAAGGCTGAAAGGAACCCGTGGTTCTGCAAGAGCACGAGTCACTCAAGATCAGGTGTTACACACCTCTCTCAAGATTCAGCAGGCAGAGGTTTGTGTTGGTTTGGCAATACATTGGATACTTCTCCAGGCAGCCTTCTGGTCCCACTTTTGTTCTAAGCTGAATCAAAAACTACTGAAGCAGATGGAACAGGCAGGATGAAACGGTGAATAATTTGCAGACAAGGTACAGCGTGAGTTTTCAGTGATAATTTTAGTCTGGTTCCATTCACAAAATAACTCTGGGAAAGATCCCATAATGAACCTGTCACTGTTAACTACCATCTGCAGGAGCAGTTGACTTGTGCTCTGAGGCTTTTCAAGACGGTCCTGTGCAATTAAAGAAAGTATAACACAGGCCAGGAACTTTACAACACAGGCTTTTAGGCCATGTGGTCCAGCACAGCTCATACATGCACTCCTCTCCATCTCTAAAAACAAGACATGTGCTGTCCTAGGAGTCGTGCCCAGACCTACCTAGCAGAGTGCTGTCAGGACCAAATGGATGCCAAGAAATTCCCAGCAGTTAGACAATATGAATAACTATAGTTCACCGCACTAACCTGTGTGTTGGCTCTACATTATTTACTAATATAACTATAGCCTATGCTGAGCCATAGGGCACATCTGTTCTAGGAAATTACACTGTGTCACTCATTTCCTGAGGCTCTGGGATGGGATTATTCAAATCATTATTAAAATGCCTGTGAGCATTTTGGCCAGTGTCAACTATAACTCTCCCAGTCATCACCAGGCACAGTTCAGGAAAACGGTTTACAAGCAGCCATCTTGCTTTCCAGGTCATAGAGTGGTACAACAGCAGGCACCCGTTATTCCTGGCATGATTCCCAAAATCAGCCTGAGAATGGTTCCAGCACGCTGCACTTGCCAGCACAGAGGTGACCACAGAGGCCTTCACAAAGACCATCTATAATAATAATCTGTGCAGACTATTAGCTTCAGTAATCCATAAACCTGACATAAAATGTCAGTTGTCAATGTAGAAGGACTGGAGGGGCCCCAGATGAGCTCTTCAGGAAGTATCGGGTTTATTTTTGCCAGTTCACTCATGCTTAGTGGCATAACATCCAAATGTTCAAACGGGTCAGTGTATTTGCAAGATTTTTCTGTTCTGTTAAAGCCCAAGATATGACACAGGTTCTTTTCTCATTTCTATAGGAATTCCCCTTTTACCTAATAAGCAGTCTCTTGAAATCTATTGAAGTATTAAAGGCTGTAATGATCTACATCTCACAGTGGCTGAGAATCTGACATTGTATAATAGCTCTATCTCTATTAAAATCAATGGTGGTACTAAAGTTAGCATATCTATGCCAAGTTACCCAAGATAACCCATATATAAATGTATCAGCTAACTGAAAAATGAATGAGTGATTCTTTCAGTTACATCTTTAAGGTAATTAGTATTTAACTCTGTTATGCAGCTAGGATAATACTTTTAGACAGAAATAAGTCTCATCTGAAAAAATAAGAAAAGTTTTGCATTGTAAAGTACATATTCAAAAAATGTACAGCAATATAAGACACATACATAGATAAAAAGATGCAACAGTACATTTTCACTGGCAGAAATTCAGAAGCCTGACCATGTAAAAAGCTATTAACAGGGATTCAAGGGAATCACCCATGTAATCCAAAAGGATTAAGGGAACATGTGCTGCAACTAAAGGCCCTATGAAAGTAAAGAAAGTCAGCCCCATCCCTGGCAGTGTTCAAGACCAGACTGGATGGGGCTTTGAGCAACCTGGTCTAGTGGAAGATGTCCCTGGCCATAATAAGAGGAGTAGAACTAGATGATCTTTAAGGTTGCTTCCAACCCAAACCATTCCATGATCTCTTGCCCACTGCCACTGCAAGGTGGTCATGTAACGTTTTTGTAGAAGAACCCAAAGCCCATTTCCCCATTCCTTCATTTCCCCATTCCTTTCACCAGTCCCACCCTACCGCATTTCCATGTTCTCCTCCAAGGGCCAGCAGCTTGGTAACAGGGCTTTCTGTTGTGCCAATGTCACTGATGGGAGGCATGTGTCCGTTTCTTAAGATGGAAGTCACTCCTGCAGGCTGGATTGTGTGAGAGTGGGACAGGGAGAGTGTCTGGCTGGACAGCTTGGTATCAAGGGTCAAGTACTGCTTCACCTGGTGCCTCTGGCTTTGCTGTATGTGGTATCTAGACTGATTTTCCAAGTGTGTTTGTACCTGGGAAGAAATGGAAATAATTGCTGAAGTTTTAAGTAACTGGTACCAGTATTTGCCTGTATGATCATGTCAAAACAATAAAATCAGCTTTAATAACACTTGAATTGAATTATTATTAACCTTTAATCTTACTTTTTTTTTTCAGTTTTGCACCTTACACATTTCTTTTACATGTGTTGTTTTCCTACAACACACCTGAACAAACCTGAATAATTATCAAAGAAAAATAGAATTAGAAAAGATAAACAATCCCGAGGAAAGACCAGAAGTATGCTACAAATTTTTGTCTTCTCATTGAAGAACGATCTCTGTTGAAATCACTGATCATTTTAATCAATCTACAAGCATATATGTACTCTAAAATTAATATCACCATGTATTAACTCTTTTTTTCTTGAAAGACTAAACAAATGCATAAAGAAAAGCATAATCCAACCAATTTAAGTAATATCATCATCATCAGACATTCACTCATACCTAAATACACATTTGGCTCACCTTGTAATAAGTACAGTCAGTCAAATGAGGCATTGCTGTACTTTTGCAATAAACCTCCAAACAATAAAATAAAGAGTCCAAGCTGTAGTTGTGGGTGACTGTTCAGTACCATCAAACTGCAAAGTCTTCTTGAAGTGCCTCTTGAGGACAGATCACTTTTTGAGAAGCAGGACTTTATAAACCGAGTCATGCCAAAATGGCTAATTGAGTATGACTTTGGGCTAGCCTTTGAATACAGAGATTGACAGTTGCTACTTCAAACAGCTCCCATTTCAGATCAATGTCACATTCCTGCAATTTAACTACCAGAGGATCACTGCATACACAAACCTTACTGTCATTTCAGCCCTGTGGCTTTGTCCTCTTCCTATGGCATGACTGGTCACAAATTTCTCATAATAAATTTTTCTCAAATGACCTCTGTGTAAGCATGATTAATATTTCTTAAATAATAGCAAGACTTGCTTTGCAGACCTTTTTTCTCCAAAAAAAAAAAAGATTCAGTCATTTATACAAACTTCTTTTTAATTCCTCTAACATACATAAGCAGAGATAAATAGCCCATAAAAGGGGTTTGCATTTAAATTAGCTATATTTTTTTACAATATTGCAGTACCTACTTCATTTTTAATCATGTTATGGTGGCATGTCTAGAATTATTTTAATTATGTTTCTTTAAACTAATTTTCTAGTCATATAAAACAGATTAAGCCATGCATTAATGAACATAATATTAATTACTTTGATGGAAGCCTTAAAATTATTAAATAATATTCCATTAAAATATTGATATAAAATCTTAAATACACTGTTTAGATTTTTCCATTTTATGTTAAGAAGATATGCATCCTATGTAAGGATTTAAAATCTACATGTGCATTTAGGATTTACTTAAATCATGATACTACTTGTCTATAATTGAAATCTTTGTGTTAGTTTTAGAAAGTGATTAACGTACTGTTAATTTAAGCTCTGATTTATCATGTGTAAAGATACATGTAAAACTGTCCCAGATCATTCATATACTTATGCATCTATTTACTCCTTCAGACTTAAACTCATATTGAAAGCTAGAAACTCAAGCAGTTTCTTTAATTAGAATTCAAACATAAAATCTGTTGCACGCCAGTTTAACCAGAGTATTGATACTGGGCAAAATGCAATGTGCTGAGAAAAAGAAATTGTGTCCTGTTCTATGGCCAGAGCAGGGATTTGCCATGTACCCTTGTTTTCTGCTACTGTTTCAGAAGCACCCACAGAAATTCTGTGCTCATGCTGGCCTGCAGGGTCACTGAATGAATCCACACAAAATGAATTCTTGTCTTAGAAACTCTACAGGCCTACCTGGAGCATGAAATCCAGAATACTGTCTCTTCAAATTGAATGGGAAACGTAAGAAATTTGCTCTGTCCAAAGTCTATATGACCTTGGTTTAAAATTTGGTTTTAGTGAATTTTAGTAAGGAATGGGTTCTGCCACAGAAGGTGGCTGAAAAGTCAGTAGTTTGCTTCCTGCTTTCTCTGCACTTCAGATTGCTAGTGGCAGATGGAAATGTCTGTGCAGCCTGATTTTCTCGTGAACTAGTGAAAGACTATCCCACCAGGCAAAGGGAGGATCTGTGAAAGACAATCAGCAAACTGCTAAGTCAGAAATCAATTTGATCAGGAGTGCTATTTTTTAATGATATTCTTTCAGTGCTTATATCCTGTCAGTACTGCCCTGAACTTCCGTAAACAGGAAAAGAATCTGATACTTTGCTGATGGGATCTGTTGCTGTGGTTTTGCAACTCTCCATACCTTTACTGTGCCAGTTGCAACCATTACAAAGCAGAACCATTGAAGTTATCTATGCCCTGATTTTCAAAAAGTACCTAAAATGCAATCTCTGATCATTTTTATATATCTAAATAAGTCTTAGAAGTCAATGTTAATAACAAATAAAGCACTTTTGAAAGTCAAACCACTTTATAAAGACAAAGCAGAGCTGGAATCCTTTTTTTATAATCATACTGCTAGTGTATAATAAACTGAGGGAAAAAAAGACTTGCTATGCTAAAGGAATACTAAGATTGCAAGTCAAACACTCAAAAGTTAGAAATTACTGTTAACACTGCTCATGCAACGTGTGAAATAGTAGCAGAAATTAAAAACTTAATAATTCTATGAAACAATAGATATGAAACTGACCTATGAAACAGATAGTGCAGTGTTAAATACCAAGCAAGATTGGTTTATTTTCCACTTGGATGCAGGATTACTTGTATTATCTCAGTAATATCAAGCTAAGTTTCAGTTTACATTTTCTGAAAATTTTAGATGACGTAAACTCTTTTAAATAACTATTGTCATAGTTACAAACATTAAACATTGACTTGATTTTCAGCTTCTTTCTAATGGTGTAAAAAGACTGGCTAAACACTGGCACACGTTGCCCAGAGACACTGTGGAATCTCCATTTCAAAACAACTGGACAAGGCCCTGAGCATCTGAGGAAGCAAAAGAAATCTAGAAACGCTAGGAGGAAAAATTAAAAGCATCCTTATTTTGTCCAATAATCTCAGTTTAGTATTCTCCAGTAGTATTAGGAAAATAATTTTCTAATTCCTCATCTTTGGAGGAGTTCCCATAATCTGCAAGAAAATATAGTTAGAGGCTATGTGAAATTTTAAGATGAGGGTCTCTGAATCTCTCCAGTCTAGAAGTCCTCCTATATATAAAACAATGCATCTTTGGACCCAGGGCCTGCAATGTTGGTGCTGACACACCCTTTACTGACACAACAGTCTGTATATATAGGGTTACCTTCTTTTTTTTCCCTCTCTCAGGGTCAATGAATATTTAATAATTTATTTAAAACACAACATCTTTAAAGGAAGACCCTGACATGGTTTTCAGGGTTGAACATCCAAGAAGCAGAAGCGTCTCTGGAACCTGGGTTCTCATCTCTGACACAGATCAGGCTGTGTGATTTGATAAAGAATATCTTCTATTCTCAGCAGACCACTTTCTATTAAATATCTATATGGCTTCCTTTTTGGTTTTTTGTTTGTTTTGGTTTTGTTGGGTTTTTTTTATTTTGGGGGGAGGGTTGTGAGGTTAATGACCTTGCTTATTGACATGCCTGATTTCTGGGAAATGGGCACCCAGTGACCACCTGACAATCCAGATGCTGACTCAGCCCAAGATTTAGTGTTGTCCTACTGGCCCATCTGCTCTAGCTCTCCTGACCCCTCCTGCTATGTGCTCCTGAATTTTATAGGGTCTTTTGACAATCGTGTGTTTAAGGTGTAACAAGGTGACAAATTGCTGAGATTAAAGGCTGGTTCTTCTCCCAGGCATTCTTTTGCAGTGGCTGTGGTCCTGTACTTTAAATGTTAATTATTTCAGATTATTTGAGGAGTGAATGAAAGCATAAAGTTCAACAGTAAACACATTATCCATTCCCTCCTAGCACTGCTTTTGTCTGTTATCTGGCTTTCCTAATAATGGTGAAATTAAAGCCATTCAGAACCAGAAACATCAAGTATGCAGGCAGCCAAAAGCATCCAGCCCCAACTCAAACATTATGATTCCACCAGAATAAAGCTAGAATAGAATTTAATTCATCCTTTGAGATGGATTTTGTAATCTAAAAATGTCCCAATGCACATGTAACTGACTGTACCTATTTCTATTTTATAACTCACTGACAAGCTAGTTCTACAAACAAGAACATAACAGCCTTTCAGAATTACAGATGCATACTCAAACTTCTTCAATTGCTTTTTCTAATTTGAGCACACATCATCATGTTGTAAAACTGTGGTAGAGTTGTGTAACATCTTTTCCCACATTGACACTCATTTTACTTTCATTTCCAGTGTATTGCACAATGGCGTAACTAGACCTTCAGTAGTTTATTTACACGAACTATTTTACTTCCACATTTGCTGATGAGATTTATGTATTTTTTTTTCCATTAGTAAAAAAATACCTAGCATGTCAGAAGTATGAAAAAGGGCATATTTAGGGGACCTAAAGGAGGCATGAACAATGTCAAAGATATTCCGTTAAGCAGCAGTGCTACATCTTGTATTGATATTCCACTAAGGGCAAGCAGGTGATGTGATACCTGTACTCCCAAGCTGCTTAGCTGAACATCAGCCCTAGGAAAACTGAAAAGATATTAAATTAATAAATTATTAAGCGATAGGAATATAATTAATGCTAGTCAACATAGTTCTGTGCAAAATAAGCCTTGTCAAACAAATCTACTTCTGCTCTTTGATGAGATTTCAAGCTAGGTTGCCAAAGGTAACGATGTAGGTATAATACACTCCAACTTTTGTGTGCCTTTTGACTTAGTATCATTCAATATTCTAATTAAAAATACAGCACTACACAATATCAATAAAGTGTGTTTTAACTGGATTAAGAATTGGCTAACGAAGGTGCATAAGAAAGTAATCAGCAAAGGCTCAGCATCAAAAAGAAGAGCTTTTCATTCTTGTACTACTCAATAT